TCGATCGTGACTTACGAAGAGTTGCGGAAACATAACTTTTGACAAATGAAAGCCACTTGATCTTGATCTTATCTAATTTCTAATCGAGGCTGACTTGACCAGTCAGAACCCGCACATGCATTTGATGTGATGACTTTCTGGTTCTTCTCCAATTTCTCAACTGTACGTACGGTTAACGTACGTTGCGCACGTACTCGTACCACACGGTCCACACCCACAGGGAAAGGGAGGGAGAGGCTACCGACCCAATACTGGCTGGATGGGCAAGATTATGGACGCACTCTTCCGCCTCATCTGCCGACATCTTCGCACCATTTGGCTCCGCACACGCACCCTCTTCTTCTCCGTCAGATTCCGCCTCCTACGCATCAGCCCAAGCCCTAGCCCGAGCTCCGGCCCCAACGCAAGCATCACACACACAGACCCACCCCCAACACCGATACCCTCCTCATCATCCGCAAGCCACATGCCAACAATAACGATGTTTTCGACAGCCAAGATGAAGGTGTGCCAGTGGGCATGTGCGCGTGCGCGCAACCTCAAGGCGCAGATGAAGGAGCGGAGCGTGACAAGGAAGAATATGATGATGAAGCGAACGGTGTACGCGCGTCTGGCTGCTCGGGCTGGGGGACAGGTGAAGAAGGAAGAAGGCCACGGGATAGTTTCGACGAGCAAATACTGCGCCAAAGGAATCGAGGACGATGAAGACGATGATGAAGCGAACGAAGAGGAGGAGGACAGGGTAGGAACGACAGCTCAAGGCGGCGACAATGATCTGGATGCATTCGAGGCGCTCTTCAAACCATTGTCTTCATCGCCCACGCTCCGCTTCGTCGCAAGTCAGCATTCACGCTCGCCGTTCCCCCCATCGCTATCTCTCCTTTCGCCCATATCAACACCAGGACTTTCGACGCCAGACCTACTAGTTCCAGATCCCTGGCTCGAGCTCGAGCCAGGGTATGCCCACCACGTCCTCCCGAGCCCGATGATATCCTGCGCATCGGTGGGATCTGACACCAGCAGTGCGCCAGCCACGCCGACGACGTCAAAGGGCTCCTCCTTTCCCTTTCCCGGCGTCTGTATGGTCGATGAAACTGAAGTTGTCCCCGTGAAGCCGCGCCTGCACCTACGTCCCAACCCGCGTCCGCGTGCCCAATTCCGTACCTTATCCGCCTCCATCACAGCGCGCTCACCTCTCTCCCTCTCGTTCCCCCTATCTCTATCTCTATCGCTCCCGCTTTCCACTCGCCGCTCATCGAGTCCGGGCACGGCGGTAAATCGATACATGGAGGAGCAGGGTAAGCAGGATGACGGTCGCGTGGTCAAGCGTGGTCGTGCGGGGAGAGATGTCGTTGGAGCGGGAGTCACGGGGAAAGCGGAAGACGGAGATGGCGTTGGGGATGGGGAAGACCCTTTCGGCACCCACGCGAGAGCATATTATACCCCTCGCGCGCGCGCAGCGCTTGGTTTCGGAGATGCGTACGACCTATCGGCGTGGGAGTGGGCATGCGACTATTCGCCGTGCCGCAGGGCGAAGATGCAGGAAGAGAAGCTTCACGTCCAAGCTGAGCAGCAGCAGTGGGGCGTCCATTCCGGTCCCGCAACGACGGCTGCTACTGGTACTACTACCCCAGCCTTCGCCTTCGTTGATGCCAATTTCGGGAATACCCTTGTGGGTGGCACCGGACCTGGATCCTGGTCTGTCTACCACACCCCGATTCACGCTGCGTCTGATCCGCAACTATCGTGCGCAAGACGCCCGGATGAAGATTTAGAATACTTGCGCGCGATGGCGACGACGAGAGGAAGATTTGAGAGGCCGCCTGCGCCTGTGCGCCCGGGCCCGAGTACGCGCGACCGGCGCGACCAACAACATACTCCTGGGTACAGAAGTGGGATCCGTCCGCTGTTGCTTCCGCAGAAACTCGGGCTACCAGGTAGTGGTATGTCGGTACAGACGCGCACAAATAATACGCATCTTTCGGGTGGGCGTGGGCGCGGGCCGACTGGATGGGAAAGGGACTTGGAATGTGGCGTGAGTGGCGAGGAAGATGTTGCAAATGCATAGAACTGGGGAGATAGACGGATTTGACCAACGCAGCCGCTGCTGTTTGATTTGCTGTTTCATGGGATGCTCTGGATCGATACCCTCGTGCTTCAATGATATTTGGTTGCTTTCGGAAGGAAAGGGGGTCTTGAAGTTAAAATCATGGTACTCAATTAAGCATCAGCAAGGCGATAATACAGCATTTCTATGTCCGAGTGACGAAATCCACGACAAGTTTCTTAAACTCATTCGGCCTAAAACGTGGCATTAGCACAACATTGAGGGACACAACAGGGGAAACCGCCAACGAACCTTTCCGCATGAACTGATACATGATACACCGACTAAGTCAGGACTATTTTCATTCAAACGTTTCTGTTGCCACGTACCCCAATGACCAGCGTCTAGCGTCTCGAGAGACATGTTAGGGAAAAACTCCTTTGCGATGGGTATATTGTTCTTGTTGATGTACTTGCTCTTCTCTCCCTTCACGAAGAGCGTATTCCCGTGCCAAGAGCGTTCACCCGGTTGATATGGGAAGCCACCAAGGTCAGAGATAGATGACCCGATGATGTCGAGAGGGACTTGAAACTTGAAAGGCTGGACAGTGGTGTCGAGGTTGGTCAGGAGGAATGCACGTGTAATCGGATCCTAGGAGTGCGCTGTTAGTGTTCATATTCCAGAGATAAAAGGTGGCTCGGTGTTGCTGATGACGACTCACAGACTCATAAGGCGCAAGAATATCCTGGGCTTCCCGTCGGGAGCTGACTTTGCTCTGCTCTATTTTATTCATGGCCTCTATGTAGCCTTGGAATTGAGTGGAAAGCGTGGCATTTGACGGCGCGATATCGGCCACGATCAAGTGCTCGATGGCGTCATCGGGGAGTTCGGTGGAAAGAGCGACGGCCATGGCGACTTTGCCACCCCTGTAAGGCATTTACGTTTTAGTTTCATTTGTGGTGAGCGGAGAATTAGAATAGAAGTGAAGAGTTCGAGTCTTACATGGAATGGCCAAGGAGAGAAACGTTCGAGAGCGAATTGGACCGGAGGAAGTGGAGAACATCTGTGGCCATTGCTTCGTAGTTCATTGGGCTTGCGTGGGGAGACGAGCCGTGGTTGCGTAGATCCTGTGGCGGAGGGGAAGTATTCAAACCTTGGACAGAGTGACAATACTCACTAGGGTATAAACAGGTCGCTGGACGTCACGGAGGAAGGCCTTTGAGAGCGACAACCAATTCCGTTTCATCCCACTGACCCGCTATGAGCTACTACAGCCTGCGAGAAATGAAGGAAAAACACACACAACAGCCCATGGAGGATGACCAGCGGTCGTTCTATCTTTGAACCATGCTTGGGGCGGAAAGCATCGTAATGGAGGTCGACGGGAGTTACGCCCGTCCTAAAAAATCCTGTAATATGGGTTGCATGAGCAAGACACGTCTAGAATGGCACATATTGAAGACTCGACTTCGAGATGATGTGGATGCAAAGGCGGAAGGTCGTCTCATTGTAGGAAGGCGACAAGTTCAGAGCGGACCTGCCCTAAACTTCGTCACGCCTTAAAAATGCTGGCTCCCGCGTTCATTCAACTCACACAAGTGCAAAAAAGTTCAGGGTGAGTTTCCCTTCTCATCATTTCCCAGTCGACAAGATGAATCAAATATCATGATTACGAGCGCGTCATTATACCTAAATGGCGCAGCGAGGATTAATCAATGTCATAGTTACACTGATCGGTTCTCTCAATCCCTTTCTCGCCTTTTTGCCAAAGCCCATTTGTTTACCTCGCTTTCCCACCACCAGCATCTTGACCTCTCGGCCCTGCCCCCAAATGACCGGCCTTTGACGAAGTATCATGCGCAAGAGGTGAGCCGATCATTCACAAACGATTCTGCCCTTTTTAGGATGATCCAACACAATTCAAACTAGAGTATCTGAGAGCTCCTGCTCGATGTTCTTACCTTTTACTATTATATCTGAACTTACACCTGCTCTGACCGATCGAGAGGCGAGTCGCTGATACCATTGACTCTTCTAGATTCCATCTGATGTCGTTGGGAACGTCGCCGATGTGTGAGTGAGCCTTCCACCTGCGTCACCTCACTATATGATGTTCCTTCATGGATTTACCGCCTGACCTCGACTGTAACACACGGTCTGAGATTGACGATAAACGTGGCTGTTTTACTCTTCTGATTTGCTAACCAACTGCTAGTTGTCCGGCCCAGCGCTGACGGATGTCTTCATTCCAGGACATAGTTGGCTGCTTATCGTCGGTCGAATCGTTACCATGTAAAGCCCTCATGATATCAAAGTAAGTTCAAACGCTCCCTCTCTCGCGACCCATACCTAGTACGAGTTCTGTATGATGCTCTTTAACACGACGGTCTTCGTATTTTCACTGCCGAAAATGCCCGCCACAGCTCACTTTTTCGGGCAACCCCTTCTGATTTTCTCTCATTCTTCCTTGTTGATCTCTTTGGCTTTGATTGACGACCCTCTATTTAGACTGCCTATCTTATCTCATGTGAGTTCGCTTCGGACAAAGTCTTCAATTTCCATCCGCGATGAGATGTTTCAACAAGAAAATTCAACTAGAAGCTGTTTCTGAGCTTCGGCCTTGATTCATATATTGAGATCTGAATTCCCTAGAAATTGTCAGTCACCGTCATCAAAATCTTGGCTGACAATTTTCTTTTTAGTGTACGGTTAGCATTTCCACCATGTGCATACATAGTCAGTTGTCAAATGCAGAGTATTTCTCCTTAACACTTTTGGGAGCTGAGCGCGGAGCGCTGGCCTGAGGTGTCCCGACGCTGTGCAGTAGGGTGTACTATTCTGAGTTGCTCGTTTGAAAAAGTCCAACACATAGAAAAATTGCCTCGCCTGCGTGGTCTGGTGAAACGTGATATATATGATGGCCAACTACGCTAGTCAAAGTACCCAAAAGCTATTCGGATACGGGGAATCGAACCCCGAGCTGCCGCGATTTGAATCCGCAAATGAAATATCCCGGAGAATATCCTTTACAGTTTCCTGTGAGAGGCGGCAATGTTAGCCGTTACACCATATCCGACTACACTACTGTAATCTTTGTTTGTGCTCAAGACCGTTACTTACTTTTAGCCCCTATAACGCACCCATTTCTGTCTGCCGCTGACTGCCTGGCAGAACGTGTTCAATCCCAGTAATCACTATTAATCACCAGAGTCGTTGTATTCTACAACAGGGCCATCCCTCCGTACATTTCTTCTCCCTGTGGCCCACCGCGATGCTATCTCCTTTATTTCTAGTCGTATGCCAGGTTTTTCCTCAGTGTTTGCTCTCACCGACATGCTTCATCGCGAGAAGAAGCCACTACAAAGGTTGTGCGTTGGTTGAGCCATATTGTCCTCTGCGGATCACTTTTCGTGAATCACCGAGCTTGTTTTATACCTCGATGATCAGGACATCAATTCATCCAAGTCAGAAATTTTGTTTAGGATGGTGTTACCGACTTCCGATGCTGCGCTGCGATAGCATGGTGAGGCGATACAACAGTCGCGACTCGCTGATTGCCGCAAATGGTGCAATGCAACTCGACGTGGTTGTTTGCAAAGACAGAAGTTTGCATCGCGCGGCACACCCAATGGCGGTAAAAAGAGATATCCTTGTGGCCATGAATGCGCGGGACAAGCAACTCTACTCACGCATACTGTAATATTCAAAGTACGATCGTCGTTCGGCTTGTCGAAGTCACGGGACAGACTCAGCGATCTCAAGAAACATCCGCGGACGAGCAAGTTATTCGATTAGCGTATCATCCTGGCCGTGGACAAAGCATGAGACCTCGCGGTCGATGTCGTAATGTCGGCGTCCACCGTCCTCGCTCGGCAGTGGCAGTCTAACATTTTACCGAAAGTCTTCTCCGTCCGCAGTATACAGGCGGTAGGTGATGTGATCACCATCGTCATCAACGTACAAGAGGTCCTTCTTCGGATCAGATTCGGGCCGGTGGACGCAGAGTTCGCCACGGGTCGGAAATGATACGGAATCCCGGAAGCACAGCCAAGATCGATAAAACACGGCCACCAAATCCCTACGTCGCAGAGTGTAGATTCGATTCATCGGCTTGTGAAAGTCCTGAAACATGTCAGTACGAGAAAGAGAGACCGGGTAAGTTCCTCAATACCCGACATAAGGAACGATGGGTTGCTTGCAGGGGGGTGGCGGAATCCCCGCGCCGAGAGAAAGATATAGTTCTTGCCACGAAGTACCATTCCTTTTCGTCATGAGGCTGGTGCAGACCACCGGATTTTTAAAGTTTTTCCTCTCAGAACTGTGATAGTATATCGAGCAACGCAGACGCGGGGATCAATTTAGTCGCCCCGCGCCGTGACCGGCCTTCTAGGATAGACCCAACGCCTCGAGCTGAAAGCAATGCACTAGTCAATAGTCTCGATCGCAAGTCCGTAAGCTTAACGAACTTAGCTCCTTAGGAACATTAGCACAGAGGTGGAAAGGTTTCAGTACACGGCAATCATAATTTCGCCTGCAATGCCGCGTCGAAGTCCATCCGAGACTGATGAAACCTGAAGGCCTGAAAATCCATCTAAACTCGCCTACCTCACCTCATTTATCGTCCGCAGCTGCATGGTTTGGACTTTGTCCTCGCTCTCCTCGGACGTTGAGTACCCCAAGACCGACGGAGGAAAGAAGCAGCCCATCCAGCTATCACATCAAAGCGCTACGGTCAGCAAGTACCGTCGCACCGCACGACCAAAGAACTGTTCCCGAAACCCGTTGAAACGTTGCGAATGCTGGCACAGCCCGACAATTTGGAGCCTCCAAGATCCATCGCTAGGTTCCCGGGCTGTCTCATCTATCGAGTCGATCGCCTGCACGAGTCCCAGAGGGAGATTCAATCGCCTCGCGGAGCCACATCGTGCACGTATTTGAACTTTCATGCATCTCATGAACCGATCTGCAAAAGCCGCATCGGGTCCTTCCCCGCGGACCCTCTATATGGAACGCGTCAGGGGTAAGGAATCCTAGGTGTCGTGTGCAGATATTCTGCAGATCAACCTTATGGTTGCTTCCCCGCGTGAGCTGGCACCACTGGAACTACGGTTGGAGAGCGACGACAACATGTGACCAAGAAGACGAGCGATACTTGCGGTCCAATTCTCTGAGACGCGGAATCGAGGCCTTTTGTCAACGGTCGGTAGACCAGAACCCGGCCGGGACATCCTTTGGGAATGGATGAGCACATGGCCGCATGTGCACCCGCATGAAACCCGGTTGCTGGGCTCTGAATTTATCACATGCTCCTCGTAACATACCGTAGACATGGACAAGGGGTGATGTCAAAGAAGTGCGCCATGCTGGCTACACCAGGACCTGCTGTGACCAAACTAGACCGGCGCCTCGGTGTGAGAGGGGTCGAGAGAACGTATCGCCTGACAGTGTGAACACAGAAAGTGTGTCGAGGTATCAGGAAGCTGCATAGCGGCATCCACGTTGGGAAAACGCTGTGATGTCGATAAGGTGCTAGAAAGGGGTGGAGACAAGGCCAGGCGTGAAGGAGTGAAGAGAATGCCCTGCATCATCAGGAATTTGGGCAAGGTCGGACATGTTTATGGAACAAAAGAGCCCCAACAGGCGCGGTGTTGACGAAAGTGTGATTAATTGGGAGAGGGGTGCGAAGACCATTAGGGCCTTATCATCGAGTAGGGCAGACGGAGAGGACGAACCGAAGAACGACAGACACGCGCTTGCTGTGAGGTTCCAAGCATGTACGAGAAGAATACAGCATTCAATTCACGCGAAAGCCCATTGAAGAGCCAAATGGGTGCATTCGCTAGCCGGAAGTGTAGCGTACGTACAAGTACAGAATGACGCCTTCGGCATGCCATCAAGGGGCTCGTGATGATGAACGAAACGATAGTACGGAAAATGGTCCGTGAAGAAGGCAAGTGCAGACCGCGGATTAAGGAGCCCGGAAGCTCTCGGGTGCCCATTTACAGTCAAATGCCACCGGCGCCCGTTTATCCCGGTACCGCCACAGCAGCGAACCGCACAAATTACCGGCAACTTCCACCGTACAAACTCTCCCCTTGCGCGATTTGAGGCAGGCTACTTACTACAACCGAGTAATTCAACAATCATCCTTGTCTCGTCTTTCCGCTCTGCCGGACCATTACGTTGCACCAGCATTTTTTGCTAACACTCGAATTACTGCCGCGCAGACCATGCTTCTTGCCCGTTCGAGCATTCTGTCGTCGTTGGACGTTCTTGCAGGGACATCTAGCAGGAGGCCTCGTGTTCAGCTACTCGTCCGCACTGCACGGCATAGCACAACCGACAACAGGCCGTCACTCCCAGCGCCACCTCCTCTCTCCAATCTGGAAACTTCGAAAGATGCCGCTGCCGCCCGCGACTGGCTGATGCGGTTTAGAAGATGCCCAATACCTCGAGCGGCTGTCGACCTCGCCTTTTCCCGCAGTTCCGGTCCCGGCGGCCAGGTTTGTCCACCATCACGCCCTTTTTGTTGTTGTTGTTGTGCCGTATCGACCAGGTGATGATGGGCAAAACAGAACGTCAATAAAGTGAATACAAAGGCGACCCTGCGATGTGCCTTGGATTCAACTTGGATACCCTCCTGGGCGCGTGATGGCCTCCGAGAGTCGGTCTGTTGTGGTGGCGTCTGTTTGGCGTGAAGTTTTTTTTCTGACCGAGAACACCCACATCATGTAGCCTTTTTTTGTCAAATCAACACATTCCATTCTTTTGACATCAACGGTCCATCGTTCGCAGGCACAGAACGTTGATGACTGTCTGTCGAAGGTAAGGACACATCGCATCAACCGTTCCGATGGCATTCCGGCATTGACCAAACCGACCATTTGTTAGTTGCATGCCTTGATTTGTTCTGCCGCGTCGCAGCAAATCAAGAATGATCCGTCAGAAGAACAGAGGGAACGTGTGAGGGAGTTAGGGCGGAGAGCAGATGCGCAGCGTCGGCTGCAAAAGGACAAACGCAGTCAGACTAAGAGACAGAGGGCAAATCCCAAACTGGATTCGGATTAGGTTATTCTGTTCGTGTCTTGCACCACCAGTCAGCCAATACGTCAAATTTCTCGTGTCGCTCATTACAGACATCAAGGGCTCCTAACCCCTGGTGAGTAAAAGTTCCGAGGTCCCCCAAAGTTCATCCCTGGTTAGGGCGATCCGAACACACGTGATGTCGGCATCTCTGGTTTCCAACTGCTAGGCAAGGCTAAGGCGGGATCGTTCGAGATATTGTTTCTCTTGGCCCACAACATATGACTCTGGGCCCAGCGGGCGCAACGACAATGACGCAATCAATACGGTTGAGGCGATTAAAGGAAGTGTTCAGGCTCCTATGATGCGCGACTTCAATCTTTCTCTCTCCTCGACGATGGCGACACAGACGACGCGACTCCGAACATTCTGGCCCAAAACAAGCCTGGCACACGACATGAAGGCGGCCTCCTTCGAATTCGTCGGCACGACCGTGTTCCTGCTGCTGGCGTTCGGCGGCGTGCAGGCCTCGAACGACGTACAGGGGTCCGCCCTCGAGCGCACGCTCTACATCGCGACGTCCTTCGGACTGAGCTTGCTCGTCTCCGCATGGTTCTTCTTCCGCGCCACGGGTGGGCTCTTCAATCCGGACGTCAGCCTCGCGCTCCTCCTCGCCGGCTGCATCAGCCCGATGCGGTTCGTGCTGTATTGTGTTGCGCAGTTGACCGGCGCCATTGCTGCTGCGGGCATCGTGCTTGCGCTCACTCCTGGCCCGCTTTCGTACGAGTACGTGCCGCGTCTATCCACCATTTCTCTCTCCCATCGTTTTCCGCTTTCAACTGGCGTGCTGAAACTATGACTTTGCAGCCCGGTTCCCGCTCCAAACATTAACCTCGCTCAGGGTGTTTTCATCGAGATGTTCATTACCGCGGCACTCTGTCTCGCGGTGCTGATGCTAGCGGCTGAAAAGCATAGCTCGACCCCTTTTGCCCCTGTACGCGTTTGCTTCCGCTCCTTGCACAGATAATTCCTTCCGCACCCTGCCAAGACTGA